AGGAATAAAAGCCGCCAAAAATTATCTTGAGAAAATGATTATTTTGAAAAATCATTTTTCATACTTAGTTAATATTTTTACATAAAACATTTTTTCATGTATGATAATATGATATGAATGCATGAAGGGACCTAAGGTTTTTTTTAGTTTGTGAAATTTTGATTTTTTTTTCCTTTCTATTGGGTTTAATGGGGAAAAAAGCTTTAAATATATTTGCTAAATCGCTGCTCTTTGTCTATTTCTTAAAATTTTTCTTGCTTAAAATGTATTTGTCTATCTCTTTGTCGAGGACAATTATGATTGCAACCAATAAGCAATATAATTCTTGACATATGTGATATATATACTATTTTTCGTATGTATTGTGAGTTCGAACTTTTAATTCTTTATAATTTGTAAAAGGCCCCCACACACATGAAATCCTGGCTTCGCCACTGCTCTCAACTTGGGTTTTGTTTTCCCTCCTCATGCGAAAGTTTGGGAAAATGAGCTAACATTAAATACATATTGTTTATGACCATTTTATCCCCATTAACAATTTAGAATTACAATATATCATTAAATGCATTCTTTTTTTATTTGATTTAATATGAGTATAATTGAAAATTTATACAAACTTTGTTTTTCATTCCTACTCAAAACAAACATGGGAAAGAAATAAAGTGATATTTTCCGGTTACTTTTCCAGCATTACTAAACGTAGGAAATGAATCTTCCATTCTCATTCCTTGGGGAATGACATGGGAAATGATTTTCCCTCAAATTTATTCCATGAACCAAACGGAGCCAAAGGATAATGTATAATAAAAATCAATACCAATTACTGCAATCATTATTTATTTTATTTTATTGTTAGATTGGAGGAAATAAACTTTATTACCACTGTGGAACAATAATTATTATTTTGGGATTTATGTGATGACTACCAAAAAAAGAAGGGGCCCAGTCCAAACAAAAACTAGGGAGCTTCTACAATGAGGAGTTAAAGTGAGGAGGTTATTTGAGGAGACCGATCCGACCGTCAAAACATTTAAAATATTTAAGTCCCATGATTTCTTTACATTTGTTGATGGTGAGATTTGACCTCCTCAAATAACCTCCTCACTTTAAGCCCTCATTATAGCCTTTCCGCAAAAACTAGTCATTAAGGCTTACACATATAACATTGGACTTAAACAGGCCGACAAGATCATCGGAAACAGTATAAATAACATATGGATGGGGGTCCTAAAAAAACATACAACCCAGTTGAGGGCACCAAATTGAGGGCTCTCAACTTCCTTTTTTTTTTTTTTTTTTTTTTTTTTTTTGTATTAAGTGGCTAGAGGAAATCTGCTGTCCCCCATGTCCCTGTTCCATTTAGTTGACATCTGTCCATTTATTTACCACTGTTAATTTGGAAAAATATTTAAAAGTAACTAAGAATCAAAAGTAATTTAGACTATCGCTTGTATTTTAAAAAAAAAATTATTGAAAAGGAAAAGGAAAAAGTTAATATGTACGTTTTAGTATGGTTTGGTTCAATTCAATCAAATATGAAACTGTATTTCATTTGATCGGTCCAAATGGATTGACAGTGTGTTGCCCAGCTTTAATTTTGCTCTTTTCATCTATAGCCACTTAAACTATACAGAACCTGGTTACCCACCTCTAGTTTTGATAACCCAGAATTAGATTTCTAACAGTATTTTGCCACCTCATGTGTTACATCAATCGGTATCTAAATAATAAAAATAAATAAAATAGACAAACCTTTGGTCTATCATTTCACGTGTATTCCATAGCCTTTAATATGGAGTGGTGATTTCCCCACTCTTTTTTCTCCTATTTTATCCACTTACACTCCTTTTTTATGACTAAAAACGGAGTGTAAGTGGATAAAATAGGAGTGAGGAAATCATTGCCCTTAATATGTTGAAAACGTAAATGGTCATTTCTCATATAATAGTATTATATTAAGATGGGTTAATTTCGATTTAGTATCTTGAACTCTTACCTTTAAAGCGCGTTTGTTCCTATACTCTCAATTTTAACGGTTACATACCATATGCTTTACAATTTTTTGCAATCTGGTTCCGGTGTTAACTTCGACATCAAAATTTCGGTTAATTGTTTTCATCGCATTTATGAATCTCACCTATTCACTTATTTCGATGTCAGTTGAAGAGTATTTTCAAGTAATTGATGTCTTCTAACCCATGAAGAACACATTATACACATTAATACCGAACCATTTTTAAACAGAATACCTTTCAACTGACATTAAAAGAAGTAAATATGTGGGATCCAAGCTTGTCACACAAGTAATTAACGGAAATTTTAACGATGAAGTTAATGTCGTAACCAGATTGCACAAAATTAAAAAGCTTAAGGTATGTAATTGTTAAAATTAAGAGAGCAAGGACAAATATGCCTTAAAATAAGAGTTCATGTACAAATTAAAATGAACCCTAAATTTAATGCCCAACCAAAAACAAACAAAAAAATAAAAAATAAAAACCAAATAATTTTGACGAAAACAGTAACCGAACACAATGCCTGAGACGTCAGCACCTGTCGAAACCGTAGCCCCAAATCTAATAATGACGAAATCTCATCTCCTGATTGGTCCTCCCACTTAACTTCATCCCCAAGTATTATACCCTGCCCTACCAAATCATTTTCAAACTTACAACAGTGCCAATCTCACGTCACCTAGTCCAGTCCAGAAAAATCGAGAGACAAAAATATCTCAGCCCGAACGTGGGTCCCCGCCAAAACAGAACCACCATAACTGATTTTCAAAAAAGCGTAGCTCCAAGGAAGCTACGCCCTCTCGTTCTCTCTTTCTCAAGGTCGGTGCTGAAACACTCTCAAATTGCAGGGAGCCCCACTTTCGTGTGACCCAAACTGAATGGCTCGGAGCTGGGATGACCAAGAAGGCGACTGTAACAGTGGCAAAACCTTCACCGCCTTTGAACGCTCTTTCAAGATTTTTATCGAACACCTTGTCGGCAAAACCTTTCGACCTTCTTATATAACGCTCCCCGAGCTCTCAATCCCCATTTTCACCTGCCACACCCACCTCTCTCTCTCTCTCTCTCACCCACCCAGAAGTCGGTTTGCTGCCATTTACAAATAGTATTAATTTCGTTCTATGAACCCAAAAGACGAGAGCTACCCAAAGTCTCCACCTACTTCAGCCGAATTGAACCCGGAGAATCCGTTTCGACCCGAAATGTCAGAACCGTTGTTGGGTTCTCAGTCAATTCCTTCGTTTACTTCTCCTCTGATGGAATTTGAAGCCTTTTGTGCTCTAAACCCATCGGAGTCTTCTTGGTCCTCTGGTGCTTTCGAGTTTGATGAGAAAGCTCCAACTGCAACGTCTTCGTTTATGGACGCTGGTGGCGCGGAGCACGTGGCCGTCCCGCAGCCTCTTGAATGTCTACAGGACAGTCCGGTTCCGCCGTTTCTGTCCAAGACTTTCGATCTGGTCGACGACCCGTCGCTTGATTCGATCATATCGTGGGGTTCCGGCGGCAACAGCTTCGTGGTGTGGGACCCATTGGAGTTTTCCAGGCTCATCTTGCCGAGGAATTTCAAGCACAACAACTTCTCAAGTTTTGTCCGGCAACTTAATACTTATGTGGGTATTTGCAGCCAGTATTGGCTGCCGCTATGATCTGTATGTAATAAATGTTGTTGTTTTGTTGTTCTCTTTTATGTTTTTTTATTTGGTTTTGTTTCTTTTTTTATGATGATGCTGTTTATCGTCTAAATTGGGTTTGATGAGTCTAATTCTGTAGAGATGTAGTCATGTATCTGAGGCCATTAGTATTGTATCTTTTAAACTCACCATGTAAGACTTTGAAGGAGGTGATGGCTTTGTAGCCTTAACTCCCAATTTTTTGTATTGAAGAGATTCATATGTAATTGACCAAAACTAAATAAAAGAGGGTTCATTTTTATGTAAACAGTTTCTTGTCGTGAAATGCTTGGCAATTTGTTTCTCTTTTTCATTAATGGTTTACACAGGTGAAGTGATAGACATTTGTTCTTGATGATGATATGTATTATGGTTTCTGTGGTTCTAGAAGATGTATGTGTTGAATTTATCAGGATAATATATAACAGTTTTGTAAGACTTGAATGTATCATGAAACTTAGTATAGAGAATCTAATTGGAATCGTAAAGGTTCTTTCATTGACTTCGTAGTTAGGACTGGAGGCTTACTTGTACGAAAAGAACATCCTCGTCTTTTGCAGGTAGAATTCAGGTTCCTATTGTTCAGATCTCTCTATATTATCATCTCAACTGCTCCCCTCCTCCCAACCACCACTTGTTAATGCTTCAAGAAGCTTTTCTCTATTTGTATTTGGTGATTTGCATATTGCACAGTGAGGTTCAGCTCCTCATATGAATGAAAGTTGATGGATTCAAATTGTCCTGTGTGATCATTTGTGTACTACTTGAATAATTATATCTATCTTTTGATTTTTGTACTGTTTCGTTTCCATTCATTATTGAAATTCTTTGGGTACTGTGTTCAGGGGTTTCGCAAGGTTGATACAGATAAGTGGGAGTTTGGGAATGAAGCTTTCAAAAGGGGCAAAAGACATTTGTTGAAGAAGATCCAGAGGCGCAAGTCACCTCAATCACTGCAGGTTGGGCCTTCTGCCGAAGCAGGGAGGCCCAGACTGGAAGGTGACATTGAGACTTTGAGGAAAGAGAGAAGTATGTTAATGCAGGAAGTTGGTGACCTGCAGCAGGAACAGCTGGGTACAGTTCACCATATGAAAGTAGTGAAAGAGAGGCTTCAGTCTGCGGAGCAGAGACAGAAGCAGATGGTTTCTTTCTTGTCCAAGTTGCTTCAAAACCCAGCATTCTTAGCCCGCCTTCAACAGAAGACAGGACAGAAAGGTATAGACTCTCCAAGGATGAAGAGGAAATTTGTTAAGCAGCATCAGCATGAACTAGGTAAATCAGATTCTTGTATGCAAGGGCAGATTGTGAAGTACCAACCTGCTTGGAGAAATCTCTCTGTAGTCCCAGAGGTGAATCCAGTAGTTCCTATTGAACAATCTCCTGATAATCTTTCACAAGTTATGGCAGGAAAACTGGGTTTGGTTGCAGAAAGCAAGCCATATCAATTTGCGGATGTAGCATCAGATGAGTTAAATTTATCAGCTGAACCAGCAGTAATGCGAGGGGTTATCAAAACACCAGAGGAAGAAGGTGAAGGGGCGTCAAGCATGGGAGCTGAAGATCCATTTCAAAAAGGGAAGAGTGTTCTGAGCCCAGAACAGGAGGTTAATCCCGAGTATCATGTCTGTTTCCAGGAGGATTTTGGGAAGAATAAGATGTTTCCGGAACTTTTCTCTCCAGGGATCGATAGCATGATTAAACAAGAAGATATATGGAGCATGGGTTTTGATGTCAGTGCTGGTATGTCAAGTTCTAGCAATGAGTTATGGAGTAACCTGGTCAACTATGATGTGCCGGAGATGGGAGTGACAAGCGGATTGTTAGATATCTGGGATATAGGTCCCCTGCATGCAGCAGGAGGATCAGGCATTGATAAGTGGCCAGCTGATGAATCTGCATTTGATGAGCCTGATAGTCAAGCTGGCCAGCTGAAAGTCGATACATCTAAACGTATTGATCCATAGGGGCTGCATTTGCTTCTCCATTTGCTGCCCTTGCGGATCTTAGTCTAGTTGCAGGGGTCTATTATTTGGACGATATACTAATGAATTTATTCAGTTTATATAAAAGTTCCATCCTTCCTTTATTATCAGCTTTTATTCCTTCATCTTTGATATCCTTTCTGACTGTTCTTATTTATTCTATAGGTTGCATTCCTTCTAGTTCTAAGCTGCATTGATCTTATAGTCCTGTTGCTAACAGATAGTTTTGAGCTATGAACACTGCAGGTCTTAACCCTTGCTAAGGGCAGCGCATTTCTGTTGGGGGAACATGGTCATGCATGCTCAATTGCCCTTTCCAGCTCGAAAAATTCCAGCAGGATGAACTTATTTGATAGGTACAGTAGATAGAAACTACTGGATTAGTTTAGTCTGTTGAACGAATTTATTCTTATTCTTGTTTTGGGTCTCCCAACTTTTGACGTTTCCATTTTAGCTTCAATCTTCTGGACTTTCATCATTTCTTCAGTTGGGGCGTGAATATATACAGCGAAGAAGACAAAGTAAAGATTGATGAGCGGGGTTGCCTTGGCGTATCCGAATCCACCTTCTGCCATTCCTCCACCAATTGGCATTTGGATTAGCATTATTGGGTTTGGACTTAGAATGTCAATTTTTATTAGTTAAACAATCATTATTCAATAAAGGGAGGAGAGGAAGTTCAGACTTCAGAGTAAAACGCTTTTCTTTTTGGGGTGATAAGCCATATTCATCAAGGGGCGTGTGTGTCATATGCAATTATACTTGTTCAAGGAGACGTTGGAGCAACCGTCAACTGCTCAGGCGTGGTTGATGGTGAGCCTTGTATGGTATGGTGGTCCTCAGAATCACTTGTTTAAAGTTCGTTGTTTCTGGGATAAGCAGGAATATTTGTTTTATCTGTAAGTTCCAACCCTGAACAGGGACCATTGGCATCAAAAATAGCAAAAACTCAGTTGAACAGTATGTGCTATAATCCAAACCATAGAATAGTTCGTATTCAGTTCAGTGCAGCGTAGCAAGCGAACATTTCTGAAATATGACTAACGAGAAAATAAAATAAGAAACATAACCATTGAGCCATTACAGGCCATCAACAACAACACATTAGGTAAATATATGTTTCAGTAGCAAAGGAAAGCTTCTCTAACAATTGCTGATGTGGTAAGTAATTGAAACTCATGGGTGGGAAGAGACTGGAAAACAGAACAATTAGCTCAACACTAAATTATACGGTGTCACTTTTGCACATGAAAATGATAACAACACAACAGATGTAACTCATGCTAGGCATCAACTAAATCCTATGAAAGATGGGAAAGAACAAAATCCCGAGCTCCTTAGATCCCTACCACCTTTTGACTTTCAATCCTTGCAAGCATTGGCCCAAAAGCAAAAGCCGATGCCAGCAAGAGTAAACATGAATTGTTCCCAGCACAGCCTGCTTATCCAAAAAGAATTACTCAGCACCCTCCTTCTGCCTTTTCGATGCATGCTCATTACCCTCCTCACTCGTTCCAGCTTCACGGCGTTCCCTTTTAGCTTTTTTTGATTTCTTAGGCACAAGCATGTCTTGAACCTTTGGTGCACGCTCATTACTCTCGTGTTTCATTCTAGCCTCACGGCGCTCCCTTTTAACTCCCTTGGTTTTGCTAGGCACAAATGTGTCTCCAACCTTTGTGTGATAATACACCGTGTCTCCAATCTACACCCACAAATTTTGTTAACAAAAAAAAAAGATTTACACATACTAGACAAAAATAAATTAGTCAGACAAATGCCATCCAAAACAAGCCACCTTTGAAACGTCAGACATCCTTAACATCAGTGTACTGAGACCAAATTATGTACACTAAAACTTAAAAAAGTCCGGCAGCTGTGTAGTGAGAAAGATGCAAAGCTCTCCACTACACATCTTTGCCCATGAGACCAAAGGGTAACCTTTTAGACAGGGAACTGCTGCTAAATGAAAGAATTTATTTTCGCCGTTTACCTTTTGGTTCGGGATGTTGATTTTCCCAACCTTGCCACGCAGTGTGTCCTGTTTAACATTTTTGTCCTGGAAAGTAATAATAGGAATTGTGTTACAGGCATGTCAAAGGCAAAAGAAACAAGAGAGATAAAATGAAGATTTAGAAATCAGACCTTCCTAGGCTGATTTTTGGCTTCTCTCATTGCTTCTTTCCTTAGGCTTTCATTAGGAAGACGATGCCGACGAACTACTAAATCCATGGAGGGGCCAACTTCAACAAGTTCCATTCTTGGAACTACTGTACCAGACTTTTTCAGTCGCAGCGCACAAAGAGTAAGGACCACTTTGTTTGAAGATATAGCTGTACATACATATACACGATCTAAACCAGCAAGATTTAATTTCTCTACAACCTGCACATATCATTTTTATGCATCTATTAATATCCCTCTAAAATTCAAAACCAAATAATGTGCAAATGGCAGCAGAGATTAACCTCTCCTCGCAACAGATCAAGCAAAACTTCCTTCAAATGTTTCAGCTCTCCTGCATTCTCAAATCCTTCTCCTATAAAGCAAATGAAAGGTTTCGACCCCACACGTGGTGCTAGTTTCTTGTCATATGTAAATGATTCCATGCGTTTATAATTTTCAACCCCAACCTCCACAAGATCATATATATGGTGATCATAAGTTCTCCCTATTACAAGATTGTCAGGCCGTTTCTTTGAGTGAGAACCAAACTGTATAATAAGAACAATGAAAAAAAATGTAAAAATATGTTAAAGAAAAAAAAACACAAGTAGAGAAACGAGCATCATTGGCATTCCAAAATCTTGGATGAAGGTAAAAATGCTTTCAAATTTTAACTCTGACAAATAATCAAAGCTCATCAAATTATTGTGTGAAAGATATAATATAATTAATATGCAAGTTCATTCATATGCTCTTCTGTGTAAATGGCAATCTTTTATACAGAACGCCAACACTCAGACACAAGCAGGCAGCTAAAGCAAAAATAAAAGACAATTCAAAATTTCTTTTAATCCCATAAAGTAAGATTATTTTCTTTGCAGTTATATTTTTTGGTACATATCTGTGTTACTCTACTTTCTTGTCATGAAAGTTTCCCTAAAAAAATTATTCTCTTTGCAATGCAAATAGTTTCATGGGTGCTTTGCTGTTATTCTGTATTCTTTTACGAATTCAGAGTCTGCAATTTCCAAACATGCCTAAAACTAGTTGTTTCACGTACCAAATCCATCAGAACTGTCACAAGAATAAAAGAGGCAGGTCCATATTAGAAACATAAACTGAGCGAACTCCACAAATTCCATGCTACAAGTAAAAGCAATCAATTTGAGAATGGATTGTACAATAAAAATAAGCACCATCATAAGCCAAATTCGAGAGAACCGCAAAATCAATACACTACACAACACACACACAAACACAGTCACTGCTCAAAGAAAGAAATAGAAAGCGTGCATCAGCTTCCAAAAAACATTCATTAATAGTAACAATTAAGAATGTAAAATTAAACAAATGCCACAACACTATGAAAACCGAATTATCCCCCTTAACTCAAAATAGAAAACACTTGCACAATACATATACATATATATATGGTGGGAGAAGCAAAAATCTGAGTTGGTTTTGTACTCACAACGAAAATGCTGCAATCGGTTTTTTGAGAAAAGAACTCGAGGGAAGTTTCACCGCCACTTTCAAAAGGGCTAATATCCTCATTTCTGCGGCTGAATTTCACAGCACTGTCCTTCTTCAAATGATAAAGGTCAGACAATACCGAATTCACCACATTGCTCGTCTTTCTGCCGTGAAGTATCAGCGTCTTCTTCCCGGTCTCAACCTTCAAATTATCAAAAACCCAATTGAAAAAACAATGACAAAGGACTTTCGCTTTTGGACATGGGAAATTTGTTATTTTCCCGAGAAACAAACACATATGGAACTTACGATCTTTGGGGCGCGTTTCTCTAGCTCCCTTCTGGCCTTTCCTTTCTGTGGAGTTTTCACTGTCAACATGGTTGGCTGCAAACGCTAAAACCTCTGAATAACCAGTTGCAGGATTTTGGAAGGGAAGCTAGGGTTTTATTCCAAAGACCGACTATGGACTGATGCCTTTAGGGTTTTGTGGGCCCATTTTGGACTTTTAACATCTGCTCCTGTTCCTGGCCTTTTTTGGGCCCACCCAATTTCTCCTTTTATAACCCAACCCAAGCCCAAACTCCTTTTTTTTTCTATTTCATAATCCATTCATGCTTGGAGTTTTACTAAAACACCAAAAATAGGGGCTGAAATTATAAAAAAACCAAACACCCAAAATACTTTATAAACACACTCAAAACCCATCATTACACACACTCAAAACTCATTTATAAACACACCCAAAAAATATACAATTGTTGATTTTGGAGTTGATTTTGGGTGTGTTTCTATGTTTAAATAGTGTTTGGGTTTTTTTATAAATACATGTCTAAGATTGGGTTTATTTATAAATTTGTATTTTAGTAATTTACTAACGAACTATTTTTTCTAAAAAAATAATAATAAGAAAAAGGAGGCAGATGGCTCCAATTTTTTTTTAATATATTGTTATTTCCAGTGTTGGAATATTATAAAATTGGGTGTCTTGAGTGATTGAGTGTCATTCTGTTCCTTTTATACTTTTGTAATTCCAGTTCTTATTTATATTTTGTTCTTAATTATATATATTTTTTAATATACTACTTTTTACTTATTTTTTTCCCCTTTACAAATAAGTTGTCACTTATTTTTTTTTTCTTAAATGCTAATAATTTGGGGGTTATTTGAATATTTTAATCTTAAGATCTTCCGCTTTATATACGTAACTTTAAAATAAATAAAAATGGTGGGCCATTATTACACACCTTCACATGCGTGGGTGGATAAATCAGGAACTAACACACAATTATGTGTGTGTGATGTGATGGAGATTATGTGATTAAATCACATAGAGATGATGAGATAAAAATTGGAATTTGTATTTATCCATCATATTGTTGTGGCATGTCCTTTAGTCATGTGCAAGTGGTGCACACATGCATATGCCCCTCAACCATTATCCAACAAAAATATATAATAGAATATATGTATATCTGAGGAAATGGTTTGACTTTTATGAAATTGTGAATACGAATAAGATATAGATAAGCATACACGAAATTTGGTCTTCGAGTATTTAAATAGCTTTTTTTATTGATATATGTGTGTTAGACTAATTCGTCAAAGCAATTGTAATCGTCAGTTTGTTTTAAGTTCGATCTCCCTCTCGTATGTCTAAATATTGCACATAACCTATTGTATGAGGCTCTTTTTTTAATATATAGAACAAGCATAGTTTCATTGAAGTAGAGGCAAATACAATACATTTACAATAAGAACATACCTCAAATGAAAGTTCTTGCATACAAATTTTGAACAAAGTAAATGCAGCAAGACAGTGAACAATAAACATGGAAATATCAAACTTAACTCACTGAGAGTTAAAAGCTAGAGGATCAATAAGACTCATGACATAACCTAGTGCTTCAGAGATCATGGTAAAAGAACATATTGTGCTGTAACAGGGAATCAGAGACACCAAAAGTGAAAGGACCTTACTGCTCAACATTCACTTGCTTAGAGAATACCACAATACCTTTAACATCCCACATGATCCCACAACATCCATTAATGAAAGACCCATTTAGATCTGACAACTCCACCTCCGTAACAACCAGTCTAAGAAGGCTGGTGAAAACCCAATACAAAATTGGAGAGAAATAAAACCCAGCAAAAAATTGGGAGGGAAAATCTCTGTACAACATGACGAAAGAGAAAGGCACCCAATTTATTAGCCGAAAAGGTTGATTCTAGGTAAAACCCCTGAATCAAAAGGGTTTTAGAAGTGAGGGGCAACCCATGGGACCTTAAGAAATTCTTCTTAGACAAAAGAGTATCCCCCTTGAAGACAAATAATATGTTCACTATTTGTTTTATAATTTTGTCAACGGTTTCAAATCACACATTATAGTATTCTAATTTTCTTCATCTCAATATTGTCATACCTCCGTGGTGCATTCGTTTAGTTGATTCATCAAGTGCACTCTTTTTTCTGAGTGCCAATTATAACTAGAGAGAAAAACAAAAACTCTTATTATCATTATTTTTAATTTATTATTAAACTTGCTTGAGGTTTTAGAGAGGGTATTTGTTAATTTATATTTTTTAAAATTGGCAATGCACTGTTAACTTAAAATAAAAGATTTTATAATGAAAAATAATATTATAGCAGAATTATACAGTTAATACTTGCCCATTAAACAAAATCAATCAATAAAACACAATGAAAATTAAAAGCTGTTAGAAAGAGAAAAAGAAATAAGATAATAAAAAAAAGCCCCCGTTTCATTCTCGATTCATGAAAGGGCCTGCGGTTTTTTTTTTTTGGGGGTCCTTTTCTTCTTCTTGTCTTAAAACGGACGTACGCTATATATTTATATCACACAGATAGACACACTCCTCTACATCGCCTTGTTCTTAATCTAACCCTAAATCCCAATTCCCCAAGCTTGTAATCCCAATAAATCCCCAAGCTTTAGCGCCAAATTTTCTAGTTTGTTTAAATTTTGTCATGTTAATTTTGTATAATTGTAATAAGAATCAGGGTTTATATTGATTCTCCATGTATTTAGGGTTGTTTTTAATTTATTGTCATTTTCATAGCTAGGCCCTTGCGGTGTTAGCAGTATATGTTTTTTGGATTGAATTTTTGTAGATGACTGATTTGTAATCGTAGATTAGATTTAGGGTTAGGGTTTTAATTTCTAAGAGTGCGATGGAAATGGAGAGCTCGCGTAGGCCGTTTACCAGATCGACTGAAGCAGTGAAGAAGCCCCGATTGGCCGACGACCGGGGCCTGAACCCGAACCCGAACCCAAATGGTCGAGCTTTCGCGCAAAGACCCGGTGGAGCTAACCCAGTGCTGTCAAGGTTCAGAGTGAGCGATAGAGACTCGGAGAGCAATGACGCGAGTCGCGGCGGGGGCTATGTGCCGCAGCCACTGCAGCATCAGGAGCTTGTGAGCCAGTACAAGACGGCGTTGGCGGAGCTCACCTTCAATTCAAAGCCCATAATCACTAATTTGACGATAATTGCTGGGGAGAGCGTCCATGCGGCGAAGGCGATCGCGGCCACTGTATGCGGCAACATTATTGAGGTGAAACCCAGCTTTACACTGTGTATGTAGCTGTATTTGTGTTTAATATTTTGGTTATGGCGCCAGTTTTTTGAATTCGTGTTGTACAAATGCAAAAAGGAAATGGAGGTGGGAAAGGAGATTTAAAATGTTGCTAGTGCTCGCTCATATGCATGTCATGTTATGCCAATGATTTAGTGAAAAAGTGGTTTTGTTAGATCCTTGTGCTTGTCTTGGATGTGAACTATTTATGTGCTCACAAAGTTGTGGTTTGGGTCTGAAATTAGCTCAATCCAGGTTTTTTGTTTTTGTTTTTTATTTAATTTCTTGAAGCAAATACAAAGCTTCATGATAAGTGTGGTGTGGTGTTCAAGTGTTGACCGTGAAAGGGAATTGTTGTATTCATCCGTGAAGCCATGGAAGTAATGAGCTGGTGTATCCCAGTTTCATCTTTTATTGTTCCAGTATGATATTGAATTGAGGGTTCGGCTACAACTTGCTTCGGTCAGGCCTTGTACATTGTAATCAATATCTTTTGTTGACATTCCCCCAGTTTAACAGGTTCCAATTCATGGTCTTCTGGTTGTCTGTGCCAAATTTGTTTACCATTGCACGCGAATGAGGCTGCATTTGTACTGAATAGCTTCAGGAGAAGGGTTTTGACATTTGTGGAATGAGTTGTAGCAGGTTTTGAACCAAATAAATAAATTACATCCTTATGGTTATGGATTTACACGGAAAACCTCTGCATACTGTTTTGTGGTTTCGTTTTCTGCCTTTTTATTTTTGTTTTGTTTTTTCACAACAACAATGCAGCACTTCAAAAGAGTGTAAAATCACTTTCTTTGATTGCCTAATAGATGCCTCTATGTTTGGTAAACCCACTTGAAATGTTATGGTTGTGTATGAGAGCCTATAGATTTCTGGGGATTTTGTTTACACCTGATGGTAATCTCCTGCAAGAGGTTGACTTTGACAGCCAATCTCTACTGGTGCAAGATCTCATATGGTTTTTCTTGGTGGTATTTTCCTTGAGATACTGATCCTCTAATGGTAATTAAAGATTGTGATATTGATAAAGCAGACAATACATACAAACCTCTTATTTTGTTAAGAAAAAACTAACAGGATGGTGCCAATTTCATTCATATCCTTACATTTGAAAGGAGGGCATATTTGAGTCATTCTTGTGGTTACCACTAATTCATAGGATGTTCCATTACATTATACCTTGAAGTCAATCAATTGTTTCCCAATGTCTTCTTGTTTGTTTAAACTCTTTTTAGTCAGATAGATTTCTATCATTAGTCTTGAATTGTTCTCAATTAGGCTTCGGCTACCGCACATTCCCATTCTAGCTTAAGCTGTCTCATGATTATTTGGTGTCTGGAGATGTGTCTTTAGATATTATATTATGCAGGAGTGGCAGAGTGCTGGGTGTGTTGTTACTTAATTAATTGCCAATGATCTTGCAAGGTAAAGACTTAAATCCTTGTGAGACAGAAATTGGAGTGAGAGACAAGTTATTTGAAGGATACATGAGAAACAAGTCATATAAGATGAATCACTTGTTCGAGAAAGGACTTGAAGAATTACTAAGGGAAATATCTTCAATGTGACATGCACCTTTAGGCCTTGGTTCAGCTGCCAAGTAGCTGGGTAGGGAGGGGATGCATATTAGTTTTTGCTGCACAATGGGCTAGTTTAGAAGTGACAGAACCTGCAGATGTGTTGCTTCTGATATCTTTTAAATGGATTTGAAGAGCCTATACTGGAACATCTTCTCCTTCCCCTTTCCTTTCTCATTCGGGAAGCATTTTGGTGTTAGGCCTTTGGTTTATCAGTCACTTATTTATTCAAACAATATTGGCTGTAACTAATTGTAGAAAGTAATTTGCAGGTTTCTAGTGAGCAGAAGTTACCATCACTTTATCTTTTGGACAGTATTGTAAAGAATATCGGAAGGGATTACATAAAATATTTTGCTGCCAGACTCCCTGAGGTTAGATTTCTGTTCTTCGTGATGCCTCTCGTTTCTCAGCATGCTTTTTCTGGTTATGTAAAGCATCTTCTTTATTTCTTGACATGTAACACCTGTCTGAATGAACATTGAATACACAACATATTAAGTTTGAGGATTAACTAATGGCAATCAAGATTAAATTATCTTTGATACCCCCTGGTGTTCACTGCTTACCAATTACATTGTTTCTTTCAAATAAAATGATGTTTTTCTGCACAACATGTCATTACTACCCCCGTGTGTCACAACCCACGATAGGCTTGACTCATTAGTTACTTTGTAGTGAAAAGTTTTTCCCCTTTTTTGCACTTCTAGGTGTTTTGCAAGGCATATAGGCAGGTTGAACCTAATGTACATCAAAGCATGCGCCATCTTTTTGGAACATGGAAGGGAGTATTTCCTGCTCAGACACTTCAGATGATCGAGAAAGAACTTGGGTTTGCTTCAGCAGCAAATGGTTCATCCTCTGGAGCTGCAACATCAAGACTAGATTCCCAGTCGCAACGACCGGCACATAGCATTCATGTGAATCCCAAATATTTGGAAAGGCAACGTCTTCAGCAACCAACAAGGGTAAGTGGAGTTCAAGTTAATTATGGATGTGGATTGCCATCTATTGAATTCTGACCTCCTAGTATTAATTGTAAGCATGTGAAGTGACATGGATGCTTGTCTTTCATCTTCCTTGCTTTATTTTCTACCATTTAGTGGTGGTTTGTTAAAATTATGCACACAAAAATATTGTTAGCAGAATACTATCCTGTGATGAGCTTTTTCTCACTGGGCGTGAAATTACTAAATGTAACAGTATTTAGCCATGTGGAAATTATAAGTGAATTTTAGAATCATCTTATATCAGGTTGTAAAATTTCTGTATTGGTCTTTGTTTTTGGAGTGTTTATGAACAAAAGATTTGCTTGTATTCTTATATTTTAGAGTGATCTTATACTTTCCAGCAGCATTTTGATCCTATACCTGATGATTTTTATCTGATAATAGATTCTGTTTTCATGTGAAGACTAGCCATTTGTATGGGTCATTGGAGTCATTTACTACATGCAACCTTGATTTTACCATCATATTAATTACGAAGAGATGAGTGGTTTTACTTATTTAATAACCTTCCTATAATATCTGCTGAATTAGGTTTTCATGCTTCTGGAATTCTTTCTTCTCTAATTTTCATTTAGAAACTGAAGTTAGAATTGAAGTTATATGTGATATATTAATTATTATTTTTTCTTTTCTGCTGGTTTTGGTATGAAGGCAAAAGGAATGGCCAGTGACTTTTCTGGGGCTATGGCAAACTCAATTGATGATGCAGAGAGGCCAGACAGAGTAGCAAGTCTCAGTGCTGGACGACCGTGGGTTGATCCTACTGTTAAAATGCATGTATGTGAAGTACATGTTGATTTATGTGTGTACTATTTTCCTTTTTATTCTTTCTGTAGTTTCATGATATGGTTAACGTTTGCAGAATATGCAGCGTTCTAATACAGATGCACAAAGTGAGCGTGTTCATGAGAAGAACATCGGCGCTGAATATGGAGAATATGAATATGGTTCTGATCTTCCAAGGAGTTCAAACTTAGGAATTGGAAGAATTGGTGGGAAGATTACCGAGCAAGGAAATGATAAACCTTGGTATGGCGGTGGCAGCAGTGTTGCAGAAACAATATCCAGTCAAAGAAATGGTTTTAACATCAAGCATGGACTTACAAATTACTCAGCACCTAAATCTGCAAATGCTGATCCTCGCCTGAAGACAGCACCGGCCATTGCAAGTCGAAGCAGCGGTGTGCTGTCTACTAGCTGGAAGAATTCCGAGGAAGAGGAGTTCAAATGGGATGATATGAACTCGAGGTTAACAGATCATGGTCCCCCCGATATTTCTAGTAACTCAAGAAAAGATCGCTGGACTTCTGATGATTCAGAAAAATTGGTAAGCTCCAATGTTTTTAACTGGTTGAAAATTGGACCCTGAGCTTCTCTCACCCTACTGGTTCAAATGTTAATTTCTCAGTGATACCGATACAAGAACTAATGCCAGGACTGGTTTCTTTGATGCTTCATTTCGTTATAGATAGCTAGCCAGTTCCTATAAAAGTTTACATGATCCTTAAATAGTTATCGGGCTGATGCCTGTTGCGTGCACAAACTCTGACTGTCTCTTAAATATTAAGGATTTTTTTTCTTCCAAAAGTTTTATTGATTGACATTGTCTATATGGACAGGGGTTTGGAGGCCACTTTCATAAACCAAAAGGTGAAAATGACTTTTCAACAACAGTTGATCTGGATATGTCTGCTGATCCTACTGAACATAATGACCTATCTGCTCTTGGGCACCGGATGTCATCACCTTGGCCGTTACCGGACTCTCACGGTGTGGATGGGCTGACCCCTACTGGCACTCCTGTGATTAGTTCAGTTCATTCAGAGCGTTATGCTTCAAGTTTAAGTGGGCTATCAACAAGTGGAGATTCTTCTGTAGCTAGGCTGGGAAGTCGAGCACAGGTAGCGTCTTCTCGTATTGGAGCCTCAAGTTTCGGGTTTGGTGCAACATCAGGGCCTGCTGTAGCTGTGGGGAAACAGAAGCAGCTTCAGTCTGTGAGAGCCGCATCACCATCTGGACAGGCACTGGTGCACCAGCATTCTCCCGCACCTACATCAACAGTACATCATCCTCATCATCATTTGCAAAGTTTAGCTGAACAAGACTATCTTGAATCCCCGTCCCTTCCTCCTCCTGATTTAAAAGTTTCTCAACTTTTGGGAAAGTCAGACTTAGGATTGCATAATCACTATACTGAGGACTCTGTGCCTATCCCAACTTCCAATGTCCGGCTGGGTAGCATAGCAAAATCACGGCCACAAGATTTGCATTCTTCATCTTCGTCAATTAAGAATCCCTCTTCGCCACAGTTGTCTACTTATGTAACTCCCTCAACGGCTGGCATTTCTATACCAGATCATTCAAATCTCCTTGCTGCAGAAACTTCAGGACAATCAAGCACAAGTAGTTTGTTGGCTGCTGTTATGAAGACCGGAATTCTTTCTGACAAATCAATTACTGGTAGCCTACCCAGTTTGAATCTTCGGGACATGGGACAAATTCAATCACAACCAGGTGTTCTGCCCCCCTTGCCAAGTGGACCTCCCCCTACCCAGGTTGCACTCCCAGGGTCCAAGGTCGCATCAGCACCTTCATCAAGTCACCTTTCCCATGAGAACTCACCAGCTTCCTCAGATAAGAAGGTAGGACATCCGCCACTTCCACCTAGCCAACCCCTCTCTTCTCTTGAGGGTACTGCATCAGCAAATGCTTCAACTGTGGTGAATAATGCCTCAGATCCAATTTCAAACCTTCTAAGCTCTTTAGTTGCAAAGGGTTTGATATCTGCATCAAAGTCGGAGTCACCCACTCCTGTGTCATCCCAAATGCCGAATGAACTGCAAAACCAGAGCATATCTACACCTGTCACCGGTTCAGTGTCAGTATCTCCAGTTTCAGCTTCTCCAAGTCTTCCTGTTTCATCTCGAACTAATGATGTATCTCTCGCCGAACCTGTTGCTAAAACCTCTGCTGCCTTACCTCAATCCAGCAAGATAGAAACAAGAAATGCCATTGGCATCGAGTTTAAGCCAGATAAAATCCGAGAATTCCATCCATCTGTGATCGAGGAACTTTTTGATGACCTTCCTCATAAGTGCAGCATATGCGGCCTTAGGCTCAAACTTAAAGAAAGGCTTGAGAGACACTTGGAGTGGCATGCTTTGAAAACTCCTGAATCCAATGGTTCAGTTAAGGCATCAAGGAGGTGGTATGCAGATTCAACCAATTGGGTTGCTGGAAAGGCAGGACCTCCTTTAGGACCTGAAGACAACATGTCAATAGATAAGCCTAGTGAGACAATGGACAATGGTGAGCCCATGGTTCCAGCCGACGAAAGTCAATGTGTATGTGTTATATGTGGTTATATTTTTGAAGATCTTTACTGTCAAGAAAGGGATGAATGGATGTTCAAAGGAGCTTCATACTTGAGCATTCCATATGGGGTTGGTGATTTGGGAACTACAGAGGAGAGTGTTGTGAAAGGTCCCATTGTTCATGCAAATTGTATAGCAGAAAATTCACTCTCTGATTTGGGACTGGCCAGCCGCATTAAATTGGTAAGCTTTTGTTAATTAAATATATGGGGAAAATGGATGTCAAAGTCCAATGCCCAAGGTGTTGCCAGCATTTTGTTAAATGATTTGGAATTCCTGGTCTTCTGGTTTGATCTCAATTGTAGATGATAAGATGTTGCCTCTTTCTCTTTGGCAGGAAAAGGATGTCTAGTGCTCCGAGCTGAAAACATCAAACCATCACCATGCATTATGAACTTCTGAGGGAAATCCAGGTTTATGTTAGTGTATTTTAGATGCGAATCTTCACTCGTAATTTTGTTGTGCCACAAAATGGTGGTGAGAGCCTTCTACTAGTTCATCTTTTTTTTTTCCTTCTTTTTTTTTCTCTCCTTTTTGTTTAATTCATAGTTTGAGAGGAAAAGAAATACATCTATATGCCCGATAGTTTGCATCTCAATGATTTCTCTTATGTGGTTGATGTTTTGCTATATTTGCTCTGTTTTTTACTTTTGATGCTGCAAAACAAGGAAAAACACTTCTGATCCTCCGAACATATCCTTCCAGCTTCACAATTGGCAAGTGGTTGTGGCCCATGTGGGATGCCTCTGTATCAATATGACATCATTGGAGTGGAGCAATTATTTCTCCTTTTTTTTTTCTTTTTCTTTTTTTCTTTCTTTTCAATGTTATCTTTTCCAATAGGTGTGGTTATAGCATTGTGAGTTGAATATTTTATATTTTCGATGTTTCTGGAAAGATAATGGATACTGTTATATATTGGCATGTTCATCTTTTCCCCTTGTTTACCTAGAACTCTTGTGCACCTAATGCGTTTGTGGATGTCTTTCATGACTATTCATTGTGCAACTCCATTTGTAGCTTGTTCATAATTTTCTTGTGCACCTGAATTCTGAAGGAACTAATCGTACATGCAAAATGATGGTCCTCATCAATCAATCGTTAATTCTTTTCTTGGGCCAGATCAATGATTGATATTTCTATTAACCCAAAAAATTAGGGAGATTCACTATTATACCTAATATAGGGCCCAAATTATATATTAAAAAAATCATATATGAAATGAACTTTAGAAACATATCCAAAGTTTATTTACAACATAACAAAAAAACTTTTAACTTCTTATAAATTACAAAACTGGCATCGATTGCTTAAAACAAGTTCAACCCTAAAATCTCATAAAAATTCAAAACACTCAATAGGGCATCAAAGTAATTTAATAATTGTAGGGGCTGTTATTTTTTTGGATTTGTTTATAGAAATTAAATTAAGTAGGATTTATCTGTATCATTAGTACTAACTAAGAATGGTTATAGGACTAAATATCTCAAAAAATTATTGATATGGGCGAACTCAAAGCGTGGAAATACTAGTTAAAAACTTAAACTTATGAGAGTAGTTTCTTTGTCATTATCAAAAAGTTTTGTGAAAAAAAATAGCTATTAGCAATGCTTTAACCCCCTCCATTATCAAAAACTTAAACCGAACAATAATTCAATATAATTCCTTGCTCAATTAACTTCATGAATGTTGGAATTTAATATTTATGTACATTTTGTATTATTAAATGGAAATTAAAAAGAAATGGGTCCAAACGAGCTCCCAAATCATACAAAAAGTCCAAAGCCAGGAATTTGCTCCCAAAAGAATGGTTTTTTTAGTTCGAATCATATCAAATCTTTGAGACCATGCCATAATTTTCGCATAGTAGTTTGGTGCTCTCCCCAGATTCCAGATGCCCCACAGGAAGACAAAAGAAATTTATACAAATATAATAATAAAGTGAAGGAGATCAATAATTTGGTAGCCATTTATATCTGATCATACTCATACGGTACCATTATGTAGCGATTACATGTATTTTCTTATAGAGTATGCTTTTTTACTTGCACCCAAAAGGGGAAAAAAAAGAAAAAAGAAAAGAAAAAAGAAAAGAGCAGAGTTCTAGTATATATAATCTGCCTTTGGAGATGCCTATCTATGGCTTATGGTTTTGGGTGTAAATATAATCCAAGTGAGCTTCTGCAATCAACCTTCTCTTCAGACACTCTTCATCTCTGTCATCACATTCTTCTGATCCCATCAGCTGCAATTAATTACCACCCAAGAAACAAATTAAAGAAGAAGATCAGAAAATAAACAAAAATTAATGAACATGGTACAGAAATCACAGAGAAAAAACTGAAAGCGAAGGAGGAGGGGGTTATATTCTCACATCTATAGGATCATTTGCTGCAGATAATGAAGCTTGGTGTTGTTGCAGAAGACGAGCATGTGATGAGGTGGAGAAAATAAGAAAAGCAAAGAGAGAAAACATGAGAAAGCCTTGGTACTTTTGTTTCATTGCTTTTCTCTTGTATTTTGGCTTTTGGCTTTTGGCTGTGCCTTGTGTGTGTGTGTGTGTGTTCTGATAAAAAAAGTAAGGTGGAGAAAGCAGTGTATAAATAGGACGAAAGAAGTAAACAAGGCTGCTGCTGCTGCTGCTGCCCTTCAGTCACATGGAAGGACCCAAGCAAGCAGTTACATGCAGTACAGTTTGTGGGGTCTACCCACTTCCTTCCCTTGTTTACTATTATCATTTTTTTTATACAAGTGATATTGGAAGATGAGGTTTTCTCATACACACTGTCAAAGATCTATAGGAATTCAACATGACACGACTGGTTTGCAAGTTAAGGTCCTTTTCATTAGACTAAACCCTGTTGGCGTTCATTATTATAATTTTTATTAAGTTTATCATCACATTAGACATATGACATTATTATTATTATTTGAAAGGAAACTTTATTGATGAAATATTATAAAATGTACGATGGATAACTAAAATAGAAAAAGCAAATCTCAGTAAAATTATCCGCTCTTTTAATTATAATATATGAGTAACATGTGCCTCCTCAAATTGCACACCATCTACTCATACAGTGGCAATCGGCCTACACAAAAGAAAATGAAAGATTATTGAATGAATTAAAATGGTCCACAAATAAGATAGACATTAAGCTAATTAGAGGGTTGGTGATGTGATAAGTACCAAACCACAGTCTCTATGGCAGTCTGTGTGTAGGGACTTGCATTCTTTTACTTGCTTGTCATTTTCATGGTAGTCATTGCGGGTCCAACCAAGTCAATAAAAATTTGTAAGCAAAAAAAAATAAAGATTCGAAAGTGAGAAAGAAAGAGGCCTCACGGCTCAATGCTCCGATGCTTCTTCCACTTTCTCTTTAGAGATAGAAAGAGAATAAGCATAATACATGTCCACCCACACAAACATAAGGGGTCAACGAAGTCAACTTTTGGTGACAGGCTTGACATGCGATCTATGCCCTACAGCTGTTTTCCCTTTGATAATTGATGATAATTGATACTTTCTTAACTTTGGGAATTTTGACACGGCTCGAAGCTCAAATAGTTAAGAACAATTATTTTTACACGTAATTGTGGTTTTTTCGTTTTCTCATGGAACGCACATAACACATTGACTTCTCAATAGGGTTTTCTCTGATCGCAGTCTACAACAGCCAATGTATAAGCAAAATTGAGGTTATATTTATAGAGATTTTCTATTTAAACCCCGCACTTCTCTTTGTTCACCCCAATACTTAAATCATTAAGCTGTAAGTTTTATTATTGTATAAAAAGACAAAAAAGGTCATCCAACTTAATAATTAACCCTAGTACATTTATATACACATCCCCACACACCCCACCACTCTTTATATTAAGTTTTAAAAACCTCCTTCCAACTTTCTGTTTACAAACTCTCTCTCTCTCTCTCTCTCTCTCAACTCAACAATATCCAAGTGTTAGAATTCCAGTTACAATTCTTGGAGAAAGGTAAAGTTGTTTTCTTTCTCTATGAAATATTAAATTTCAGATTTGGGTTTTCATTTGTTTGTGTTTTTTTTTTGTTGAGAACAAAGAAAATTGTGGGATTTAAATAGAAAATCTCTTTTAGTTTTTATTTTTTTAGTTTTGGGTGTATTTAAGGGTAGTTTGGGAAGATAGTGGGGTTTTCTTAGAAATTGTAAAAATTTAAATTAAAAGTTGGGGTGAACTTAGAACATGGGGTGAACTAAGAGAAGTGTGAGGTTTAAATAGAAAATCTCTATTTATATATGTGCCTAAAAATTTGGTTTGGTCTTCTGGCTCTAATTGAACTTTTGCCCCATAATTAGCAAAACAAGAACAGGAGGTTTGAAGTTCCAACAATGCTTAACCCTTCATTCTCATTAATGAAATGAGGTAAAGAAGAATATAGTAAAGTGCATGTGTGAACATGAAGAACGTATTCTTTAGGTGAACAGTTTTTCTTCCTTTTAGTCCATGTTTTCCTAATTCAAAGGGAAGATGCCAAGGGAAAAAGTTATAATCATCCCATGATTCTGTTCCCACGCTAGCTAAACCTTTGCTCTGTCTTTCTCATCGTCCTCATGGCCTTTTAAGCCTTCATAGGGGTGTTGATCTTGTCCTGTCGCGTCCTGTCGTGTCTCGACATGTTTGTTATTGTAGAATTTCATAATCATGTCGAATTCTAATCAACTTTAATTTGACTTGTTTAATTAACTGTTTAAAATGGCATGTTTAATAATATCAGGGGTATATTATTTTTCTCTGTTTTTCATTTAAAGAAGTTGGAGTAGAAAAGATTTATATAGGCCGATTCACGGATTATATGGAAGATTTTGACCACATCATCTGGATGCTTAACAAAAACTAAGATGTCAGATCAAAACCAAAAACAAAAAAACAAAATTGAAGATGGACTTTTAGTGCTGGAACTTTGTCACTTGACTTTTAATTGAAATGACCACTGTTCTGAACTTTAAATATATCAATTATTTAAGCACTGTTAACCATGTGTAAATTCTTCTATTTTGTAAAACTTCCTTTTCAAACTTACCCTTTCATCTCAATCTCGTTTTAAGTACTGTTATCAATTGAAGTAAATCACACTAAATTTGTGTTATCAAATTATACGTACATGTGACAACATGTTTCAATATATTGTCGAAAATAAGAGTACTTTAAAATGAGTCCAAATTTAAATTAATGAAACACTGTCACATCATTTGATGAATAAATTTGATAAACGTAGCTTAGCTATCGTATTTGTCAATAGAAACGAACTGGATTGAATTGAACCTCACTCGACAACTCGCACAACGGTGGTTCCATGTTCTTTCCCGTTGCAAATCACGTTGGAGACATAATTTTTACCGCAGTAAAACTTAATTCATTCGAGCTTGGTCTTAATTTAACCCTAGCTAGTCGGTCATGAGCTTGAAATAGACAAACCCTTTTGACAAGTAGTATCCTACTCAGATCGACGTCACTAGCTAGGCAATTTTTCAAAAGGTTTGACGAGTAATTTCTAGTCTTTATCCCATGATATGAATATGTACCTTAGAATTGAAGACATGGTCGGTGCACATGTGTCCTCTCTCCCTCTCATCTCCCCTTTTAAAGATGATTATGGGAAATGTACATGCTGCCCTAGGCCTGCAAATTGACATAAAGTAAGAAAGATACCGTACTCGTAATATGCTTACCTGAAATGTGCACCTTATCACTTCTGGGAATTTATCCATTTATGTTAGAGAATTAAAGCTGTTTAATATCATTTTCATAATCTCATAATCTGTTAGAATTATGAAGTGATAGGGTCTTCACAAGCAGAAAAATTCTCTCGTAACGGAGATAGCATTGTTTTGCTATTCTTGACTAATAATGTAATGACACGTGGAAAAATTATTCCGCGTGTCATT